TCTATCTATCTATCTATCTATCTATCTATCTATCGTCTGTCTATCTACATCCATCCATCCGATTTTGAAACCATCCATCTCCTTATATGAGGACTCTGGATGGTGTACAAATAAAACAAACATTACATAGAATTTAAAAACAGGCAAGGATAATTAAAATTCAATGTTAAAAATTAATTAAAAGGCGGGGGAGGATTCAGCTGGATGGATGTACAGCTGGTTGGTTTTTTTCCCATAAAGTATTGCTTTGTATATATTCATTGTTATACCTCTTATATGTAGTCTGATACTATTAAGGAAATAGTAATAATTAATTACATTCATTGACTTTCCGTGTTTAATCAGCTTTTAAGAAACAATGTCATTTTTAAGAAATGAAGACTCATTAGACTACACCATGTATCCTTTTTTTTTTTTTTGTAGTACAAACCATTCATGCTAAAAACTGGAAAAAGCTATATAGCTATTTATATACCCTATCTGGAATTACGGTTTTACTTACTGAGTTGGACAGCAGTACACTGTATTTAACACTCAGATACTAAAGGAGTCTTGTTGAATATATATTGTTAAAACAGAACAAAATGAAAAGCATCGCAGAACAGATATATTACTTCCTCATCCCAATTTTAATTGTAATATTTATTTTTAAATGCATATATTTAAAGCTTATCACAATAAGAGCTTATCATTCTTATTACTGCAACTTTATTACTGTAAAAAACTGATCTTTTGAGTGAAATATCATTGTTGTAAATTAGCATGTAGATATGAATCTGCTGCAAATTTTTAATAAGTATTAAATTATGTATTTATTTTACAGGTCTGAAAATGAAAATTCAAGAAGCATCAGGTATGATTCTCAGATTTATTTCCTTCTGATGCTGCTTTTCAGCCTTTTGGCTAAGATCAAGTGTTGGAATTCTTCTGATATTGAATAATTGTGACAGTTACTTATTCTACTTAATGTTTTTCTTTCTGCATCTTTTTTTTCTTTCTTTTCAATAGGGAATGTATATAGTTACAATAAAAATATTTTAGTTGCAGTTTACAAGGCCAATATTCTTATATTTTACTTGCAGATTTCTTAAGCATGGCAAAATATTAGATTTTAGTTAAGATTAATAAAAAATATTATCTTTAAGCAAAGTTGAGATTAGAAACGTTTTGTAAAAGTGTTCTTTATTTTATTCTTTATCATTTGTTTATTCAACATTTGAGGATACAACAATCCTTTAAATATATTTCTGCATATTCAAGATACAAATGCTTGAAGATTTGAATGCCTCATCAAAGATTGGAAGAGATGCTTCTTTCTTAAGTATAAAATTTTTTATTACTACCAGAATCTGAATATTCAGCACTTTTTGAGTCATTTTTTTCAGTTTAGTAATTAGAAGATCATCATTATTTTTTAATCATTTCTCCTTTAAGACTCTTTTTTGTTTTCCTTGTGCACTATAGAAATTTTATATGAGAATTTTCCAGAACATTTAAGAATCTGTCTTGAGGTGGTAGGTGTGTTCCAACTTTATTTTAATATTATTTTAATTATTTAATATTATTTTGGAGACTTTCTATATTCCCTGGAAAAAATTAGAAAACAGTGAACGTGCTTAGCTCCAATATTTTATTGACTATTCCTTGAAACTGTTAGAATTCCATTTTGTTTCCAGTGGTTTTCAATAGGGACTTGGAGTTGGTCTTAACAGGAGGCTGGTAATCAATAAGTAACGATGTGGCTCTTTTGAGTGTGTTCAGAAAGTAATGAGTGTGAAGGTAAATAATAAAAAGCAATTGAATCCAGAAATGCCAGAATTGCTTATTGTAAGGCATTATAAATGCAGAAAGGTGGTATGTCTCCCTGTTTCGAATAGGGTTGAAAGAAGCAAGATGTCAGGGTTCCGGCGATTGTTCTAATTAAATCATGAGCCTCGAGCCAAGCTTCAAAAGAACCCAAAAGATTTATTAGGAGTAACATGTCGACATTATCCCAGTTGAAGCCAACTCTGCCACATGTAATTTATGGTCACCTGTGACCCTGTTCCACCCTCTCCCCTGGGTGTGTCATAAATCAGATTCTCCAATGAAACACGTTCATGGGCTGGGCGTCATCAATCACATTCTCCAATGAAGGATTTTCAGGCAGAAGATCCGGTAGCCTAGCTACAATTTTTGTAAGATAAGTGTCGAATGTACTTCTATCCCCCCCCCCCCCCCAGCTTAGGGCAACTTGAAAACAGGCTTTATGAGTTGACACAAGAATTATGGTTGGTATACTTCTGGATGACTCAGGTTTTACAACAATGACAAGGAACACATTATATTCACTTTGCTTTACTGTTCTTTCCTGGAAAGAAAAATCTGCGATACACTTGCTTGGGACTTCAAGATCTGACTATTGCAGCTCTTTCTACATTGAGTGTTGCATTTACTTTAGAAACCTATTAGCATAAAACTTAGCTGATATGCTGATTTGTGAAAGAACTCAGAAATAGTATTACATCTAAAGGCACTGATTTGCATTGATTACTACTTTGTTTCTAGGTAAAATACAAGGGATTTTTGTGTGTGTTCATTTTCAGTTCAGTTTTCTGTGCATTCAAGTCATTGCTTCGTTTTCTGGGCAGCAATTTCAGAAGTGGTTTTCCACTGCCGCCTTCTTAGGGTTGAGAGAAAATAACTGGCCCACAGAGACATAGCTGTGTTAGAGTCTAACACTTGGGGTTTCCCAGTTTCTAACCTGATGCCTTAAACCCTCTACTCATGATGGTGAACTTAGGCCACATGTGCCGGAAGTTGTATGCAGAGACATTTTCCCCAGCATGCAAGAGCTCGCCTGGAAGAGCCCCATTGCATATGCATGCACATCGCCACTGCCCAACAGTTGATTGTTGGGTATCTGGCACGCATGCACAGGGGGCATGCAGGAGACACACACGCATGCAGAGATGCACAGCATGCACTGGGAAATTGTGGACACATGTGCAGAGATGCATGGTGCGTGAAGGGATCCCATGCACAGATGGATGGCGTGCAGGGGTGATCGTGCGCACAGGCACAGATGTGTGGTGCATGGGGGGTGATCATGTGTGCATGCACAGGTGCTTGGTGCATGGCAAAGCGAATCACATGCGTGTAGGTGCAGATGCGTGGCAAGGGGATTGAGTGTGCAGGGGTGGAGTGTGCAGGGGTGTGGGGTGGCCAGCATGCATTGCAGGGATGGGATTCTACCAGTTCGCACCTATTCTCTAGAACCGGTTGTTAACATTCTAAGCAGTTCAGAGAACCAGTTGTTAGAAGAAATTATTGTCCTAATCCTGTAAGGAAGACAAGAAGGAAACATTCTGGTGTTGCTTACAGAAACTGCCTCTCTGTTAACCCTTATTACATTCTTGGCAGGACTAGACTTCCTGTCTCAGGAACTTCTCTGGAGTTTTTTCCCCCTCCTTTGCTGGTACTTTGCTTGTGTGGAGTGACCATTCAAAGTTACAATGGTACTGAAAAAAGTGACCAATGACCATTTTTCACACTTATGACTGTTGCAGCATCCCCACAGTCATGAGAGGCCAGGTGAGGAGAGGCATGCCTTAATGTGAGTGATAACATGACCACCAAGCCATGTCCTTCCAGTCACATGACCACCAAGCCATGCCCACCAACTAAGCCACGCGCACAGAACCGGTTGTTAAAAAATTTGAATCCCGCCCCTGATGCATTGCCTTCTGGGTTTGGCAAGCGCACAAGTGTACGCGCAATTATTGGCACGGGAGCCAAAAAAGGTTTGCCACCGCTGCCCTATACTAAACTGTCTCTCAAAATGGAAGTACTGATCATTATTATTCAAACTGCATACAACTGGATGCAGGTTACTTCAGAGACTATATTCCTCTATATGATCCATAACTTGAGTTTATCTGGGGGGAAAATGCCTACAGTTGCTTTGATGTCAACTGAGAATAACTTAAACCTGCTCTGTAGTTTTTTCTGGATTTCTGAAATATACTTCGTACTGAATTGAGGAGCCTATTGCGTTTTAATTAAAATTAAAATCTGGAAGGTAAACATTGTACAAAAACACCTTTTAATCTATTATTTTAATTTCAGCTTTAACCCATCTGCATTTAATTTGGGGCGTATAATACAAACAATAATGAAACCCTAACCCTTCTCAGAATAACTTTTTAAATAAAAGTATATACAGATTTTTCTCTATAGAACATACATTTGCAACACTGAAAGTTATGGGGAAAGAAATTTATGATTTTTCACTGAAGAAAACCAATATTTTAAAGTGAATTGACTGAGTGATAAATGTGTGCAGCTATTTGGTCCTGTAGATTAACCACTGAATATATTTATAGAAAAGCTGTTGCTTTAGGTTGCTTTCCAATGTGCAAATTTAGTGTGGAAATGGGCTCATATGGAGATAAACAAAAGACCATTCAAACTAATTAAGTTGGCAATTTGAATCATATTATATTTTACACAGCACCTTAGGTTTTAACAAAAATGTCATTTATGCCCAACTAGGAATGCTCAATAAATAACCAATCATCTTAGTACATATTAAATATGTTTCTGTGTCATTTCTTAACTGAACTGTTTTTCAGAAGTTCATCTGCATATTCCTGGTGCATTATGGAAAGCAGTTGAGCAGGAAAGGAATTGGAATTCATCTGATCACCTCAAGCCAGTTGCCTAACATTTGACTCAACAGATGATCAATTGCACATCAGTTGTCTTAGTGTATTCTGGGAAAGAAAGAATTATATTTGCTTTTCCCTCTTTTCCTTCTTTGTCCAGTGAATATAGAAGACAGCCTGGCCAGGAATGAGATTTTGGCAGTTGCCTACAACAGAAGTGCCATGTTTTTTTTGTTCCCAGAGAAGAAAAAAGGCTGTTAAATATCAAGCTTGTGGAAGTCCTTAATATAAAGATTGATAAACAGGAGGCTGGAATATTATATGTACAGCTCACTTGTCAAGGGGAAGATATGTGGATTCTATTGCTTTCCAAAAGCAGATGATCAATAATGTTTGCAACTTCTAAGGATGAGAAAGAAGGTGGCTTGCAAAAAGAGACTACATCAACATTACTGTACATCTTGGCACCCAATTCTTGTATCTAAATTTTGAAAACTTGTTGACATAATTTTTTTTAAAAAAATCCAGATTTTAAAAAAGCTTTTAGAAATATGCATGAGCTACAGAAGACTCTTACAGTTGAGGCGCCACTAACTGATTTATGTAGATCCATCACCAATCACCCAGAGGAAGAAATTCATAAGTTATGCCTTCTTGAGAACTACAGGTGTTCCCATTTGCCATCTAGATATTCCATCTCAACATGTGTATTGTCTCTCAGGTGCCTGGCTCCAAGATGTGATAGAAAGTCTGACAAGATTCATCTATATGGACAAATCCATGTTGGTTTTCATCAAATAATATTCATTACAGTTCAGCAAAAGAAAGGACCATGTATCATGTTAATTCCTGGTTGCAATAGAGGTTTCAGTATTTCAGTAAGTGTATAAACTTTCAGGAGGAAGGGCTGCTTTGCAAAGATGGAATTTATATCAGTAAGGAGAGAAAATAGATTTGTAGCTGTAGCTGATTAATCTGAACAGCAGGCCTGTTCAGCAAAGTGGAAGTGCTTTGGAAATTACAAGTTCAACAATGGAGGAGTAAATACAGGCAGAACAAAAAAGGGAAGGGGAACAAAAGGAATCAAATTCATTATTTAAGTGTCTCTATATTAATGTATGAGGTATAGATAACAAATAAAATGAGCTGGATGTCATGAAGGATTAAAGTAAATGTCATGTAATAAGTGTTATGGAAACAAGATAGG